GACTCCCTGCCTCCCTTCAAAGTGGTAACGGGCCTGCTTTTGTCTCTAGTATAATCCAACAAGTGTCCAAAGCACTGCAAATTAATTGGCTGCTACATTCATCCTGGAGACCACAATCAACAGGAAAAACCGAGAGAGTGAATTATACATTAAAAAGGAACATTGCTAACGTATGTCAATTTAACTTGGGATAAGGCCTTGCCAGTTACCCTGCTGTGGGTCAGAGTGGCTCCCAGAAGCAGGCTTAAATTAAGCCCCTTTGACATATTGTATGGTAAGCCTTTCCAGGTGCCTTCCCAGGTGGGAGAATCTATAAATGCTCTGAAAGACCTAGCAGTTGCCAATTATGTTAAAACTCTGGGCACTATACTAACCTCTGTTCATGAGTTTGCCTCCAGCAGGTCTGCCTATCCAACTGAAGTAGCCTTACATCCTTTCCAACCTGGGGATCAAGTCCTCCTTAAAACGTATAGAGAACAAAGGCCTGAACACCAGCTAACTGCACAGTGGACAGGACCACACGTGGTATTACTTACCATGCGCTCATCTGTCAAGTTAGCTGCACTAAAGCCATGGATTCATCACACTCAGTTTAAAATAGCCCCACTGTCATCAGAAAATGACCCAACTCCTGAGAGGCCTAGAGAGCAATGGGTTTCTGAACCCTTTAGAAGACTTGAGGTTGCTCTTCAAAAAGGATAAGTATTGAGATTAAAATTTCATTGTAGAAGAGATTTCATCAGGTTCAAATAGTTGTAGATAAAGAAAGAAAGAGAACTTCCCTGCTGGTGCAGTGGTTAAAAATCCTCCTGCCAATGCAGGGGACACAGGTTCGATCCCTGGTCCAGGAAGATCCCACATGCCACAGAGCAACTAAGCCCACAAGCCACAACTACTAAGCCTGCGTGCCACAACTACTGAAGCCCAAGCACTGCAACTACTGAAACCCACATGCTCTAAGGCCCGTGTGCCACAACTGAGCCCGCGTGCTGCAATTACTGAAGTCCTCGCGCCTAGAGCCCGTGCTCTGCAACAAGAGAAGCCACTGCAATGAGAAGCCCGCGCACAGCAACAAAGAGTAGCCCCCACTCACTGCAACTAGAGAGAACCCACGCACAGCAATGAAGACCCAACACAGCCAAAAATTTTTAAAGAAAGAGAATTGTATTACTTACTAAAAATTTTAAAGAATATTCCTGGCCCAAGGCTGATCAATTCCATTCCATGATCACCCCTTCATCACCCCTGTTCAGTAGGAAGTAGCCACAATGATTGTTACCCCTTTTTCCCACAAGACTGTAGAATGGACACTGACAGTGGGGAATTGTAATAGGGGTGGGCCGGCCATTAGTGGTCCCGCTCCACCAATGGGCAGCCTCACAGTGGTCTCCACAGTCACCAAGTTTGCAACAACCAACCACACCCTCTATCCCCCTCCCCCTTCTTGTATAAAAGAAGCCTGAATTCGGACTGGGGGAAGATGGTTTTTTAGACACTAGTCCACCATCTTCTCGGTCTGCTGGCTTTCTGAATAAAGTCGTTATTCCTTGCCCCAACACCTCATCTCCCGATTTATTGGCCTGTCATGCAGTGAGCAGAACGAGTTTGGACTCGGTATCAGAGACAGTTAGGAGGTTAGTTTAGCAATTTATGTCTGATATGAGGTAGCCTGTGCTAGAGATGAGCAATGAAATGGTAAGAAGCAGGTGGATGCTGAGTCATCGTACCTGCTGTTCCCTTTGCCTTGCGTGCTGTTTCTTGTATATCCGCTTGCCCATCTTCTTCAGTTCTCTGCCCAAATAGCACTTTATTAGAGAGGCCTCCCTTGACCAACCCATATAAAATTGCAACATCATGCCTATATATACCCTCCATTTCATTTTCATACTGATTTTTCGCCATAGCATTTATCACCATCTAGCATATCTCTTTCTTTCGTTTAATTATCTTCCTCCCCTGACTAGAGTAAAAACTCTGATAGTAAAGACTTTGGCTATTTTGTTCACTGCTATACCCCCAGTACCCAGGATAGCTGACCCATAGTAGCAGCTCAAAAGAACTGTGTTAGGGGCTTCCTTGGTGGCGCAGTGGTTGAGAGCCCGCCTGCCGATGCAGGGGACACGGGTTCGTGCCCCGGTCCGGGAAGATCCCACATTCCACGGAGAGGCTGGGCCTGTGAGCCATGGCTGCTGAGCCTGTGCGTCCAGAGCCTGTGCTCTGCAACGGGAGAGGCCACAACAGTGAGAGGCCCGCGTACCGCAAAAAAAAAAAAAGAACTGTGTTAAATGACGAAGTGAATGAATGGATCCCATCCTCTGTATTGGTTATCTATTGCTATGTAACAAATTACCCCAAAATCTAGTAGCTTGAAATAATAGGCATTTATTATCTCACACAGTTTCTGAGCTCAAGAATCTGAGAGCAGCCTAGTGGGTCCTTCTGGCTCAGAGTCTCGCATGAGGTCCATTCAACTGTCAGTCAGGGCTGCAGTCAGCTGGAGGCTTGAGTGGGGCTGAGGATCTGCTTCCAAGATGGATCACTCATGTGATGTGGCTTTTGGCAGAAGGCCTTGCTGCATGGGTTGTCTGAGTGTCCTTACATTCCTCAGAGCAAGTTAACACACACACACACACAGAGAGAGAGAGAGAGAGAGAGAGAGAGAGAGAGAGATCCCAATGTTGTTTACAACCTAACCTCCAAGATGACATACCATCACTTCTGCCATGTTCTCTGGTCATACAGACCAGCCATGAGACAGTGTGGAAGGAGGCTGCACAAGGGCATGAAACCCAGAAGGCAGTCATCCTGAGCTGCGGGGGCCATCTTGGAGACTGAGCACAACGCCCTCTTTTTTTTCTTTTAAGTATCATTTCTGGTTTTGTTTTTTTTAAAAGATGTTGTGGGTAGGAGTTTTTATTAATTAATTAATTTATTTTTGCTGTGTTGGGTCTTCGTTTCTGTGCGAGGGCTTTCTCTAGTTGCGGCCACTCTTCATCGCGGTGCGCGGGCCTCTCACCACCGCGGCCTCTCCCGTTGCAAAGCACAGGCTCCAGACGCGCAGGCTAAGTAGCTGTGGCTCACGGGCCCAGTTGCTCCGCGGCATGTGGGATCCTCCCAGACCAGGGCTCGAACCCGCGTTCCCTGCATTACCAGGCAGATTCTCAACCGCTGCGCCACCAGGGAAGCCCACAACGCCCTCTTTTATCAAGACCTTTCTCCTCCCCGCTCCAGCTATTTGTAACGCACAGGTAGTAAACTCTCGACCCACAGCTATATTCAGGGTAACTGATTTTTTAAAAAAACATTACCATGTTTTAGGTTATTAGACTCCACATTTAAAAATAAGGGGAAGGGCCAGCAAGCCATTGGGATGGCCAGATGGTGAAGGGTTGGTGCTGGATGACAGTTGTGCAGTTGGAATGAGGCAGCCGTGAGGAATCTGAGAGACAGTTGGACGGCAGCCCTGACCTGGCCGGTGGGATGTGGGAAACAGAGGCCAGGGGTGAGGCAGGGCAAAATTTCAGAGGCAGGAAGAAAGGATAAAATAGTTCCCTGAGCAGAAACAGGGAAATTGGGAGGGGATATGATCTGAGAGAGCGCTGAATCTGCCTTCAGTGCACGCGAGGCAGAGAGAGGCACCAAGACGACAGGGTTCTGCCTCCGGGTACCTCGCGGCTGGGTAAAGGAGACAGGCAAGCTCACAGGAAACTAGCCTGCAAGGCTGAATGAAAGAAATTCGCTGATGAAGCTGCAAAATCACATTGTTCAAGGCCAGAGGAAGGGATTTGAAGTAAGTCTGGGGCTCTCTGATCCTGAGAGACCATCAGGAGGAGGTGGCCGGCAAGCTCAGAGGTGGGAGGTGGGCTGGGAACTGAGACTTGGGAAAGAAGTACACAAAGCTTTGTGAGCAAATGAAGCAGGGAGAGTTGCTTAAGGTGGAGCAAGGAGTCCCAGACCCAGACTGGAGCACTCAGAACCACAGGCAGAATGGAGGCGTGGTTAAAAGCAAGGGGCCTGGAGCCAGACGGCTTGGATTTGAGCACTGGTCCTGCCCCCTGTTGGCTGTGTCTTCTTGGGCCATTATTACCTTCTCTGTACCTTAATACCTCCATCTGTTAAATGGGTGCTATTATAGTACCTATGGTGAAAGCCACACATATTTGTTCTTCTCTTTCTGACTTACTTCACTCTGTATGACAGACTCAAGGTCCATCCACCTCACTACAAATAACTCAGTTTCGTTTCTTTTTAGGGCCAAGTAATATTACATAGTATATATGTGCCACATCTTCTTTATCCATTCATCTGTCGATGGACACTTAGGTTGCTTCCATGTCCTGGCTATTGTAAATAGAGCTGCAATGAACATTGTGGTACATGCCTCTTTTTGAATTATGGTTTTCTCAGGGTATATGCCCAGTAGTGGGATTGCTGGGTCGTATGGTAGTTCTACTTTTAGTTTTTTAAGGAACCTCCATGAGAAGCTCAGGTTTGAAGCCTTCTGGGTGGCCGCGCGTCTGGAGTTGGGGGACATCTGGGTGGTTTGGGAGAGATCCGAGAAGGAGTTGGTGACTTGGAAGCTGTCAGCACGAAGGTGAAGTCCCTAGTCTGGGGACAGCGTGTGGAAGAGTCCTGCTTCATCTGCCGGGGAATAGAAGACTGCTCAGCCTGGGACAGATGAGAAGGTCAAGGTTTGGTTTGGGTTTTTAAGGCAGAGGAGAAGCTGACAGGAAGGCAGTGGTAGAGAGGCAGGGGGTGGACTCCCAGCAGAGGGAGGGGAGTCTGGAGTGGAGTAGAGTCGGGAATCCACCTCGGGCAGGAGAGGAGAAAAAGGAGTAGGGGCTGAAGTTTCACATGCTGCTCTAAAGGGGAGGAGAGAACAGAGCAGGGAAACTTGGGGAGACTTGGCCAAGCAGTGCAGGAGCTGGGCTGGGCTGGGCTTGGAGATGGTCACTCCGCAGGGGCAGAAGAGGGTGATCTTTGACTATTTTTGTCCACAGGACTCGAAGCTCAGGTGCAGCGGAGGAAATTGACAGGAAGCTGAGGCCTGTGGACCACAGACCAGGAAGGGCCTTCGCACCCACCCTGCATTTCCAAGGAGTGAACTGAGGTACGCGGGAAAGACTGTGGGACAGCCCCCGACAGATGTCTGCGCCTGAGCTGTTTGAGTAGCCCTTTCAGGGGAGTGTAAGGGGCTTCCGGCGAGAGACTTCATCCTGAGGGGCATCAAGGCCAATTCTGATCACAGGCCTTTTCACTAGAAGAGCAGACAAGGGTCTGGAGGGGCCCACAAGGCAGCAGCCCAGCTCAGTGAGAGGCCACTTGTTTGTGGGAACATCTGTCATGCTCATGGGGGCCGCCAGGGAAGAGGGGGTGTGTGCAGGTGGCTTTGCAGGAGGAGAGGAGCTCGGGGAAGCAGAGTGACCGCGGGTGCTGGGCTCAGCTTCACATCTGGCTGCTGCTGCCCGGGGATGCTCCAGCAACATATGTGCACACAGACCACCTTTAATGCAAAGCTCACACCCACTGTGTCCAGGGCTCCTTATAGGCCAGAACATTTGCCCACCAAGGACATCATTTAATGCTCACAATCCCATGGAAGGGGCACTTTGATGCCTATTTTGTAAACAAGGAAAGAGCAGATTGGAGAGGTTAAGTGATTTTTTCTGAGATCACACAGCTCAGGTGTGGTGGAATCCAACCTCAGTTCATCCTCATCTCTTTTCCTCTCCAGCTGACGTTCTGTGGTTGTTATAAGCAGTATCCCATGTACACCACAGCCCCCTTCCTTGGGCTTATCCAGCAAGCGGCAGCCCCAGTCAAGATCAGCTCTTGGCCTGCTCCCGCCGCCAGGAGCATAGCTAGAGGTGGCTGGAGAAAAACCTCCACCACAATGACCGAATTCATGACCTTTAACCTCAAGCAGGTCCACGGGGCCTTGGCGCTGGCTGGTCCTTGCACTCTCCCACTCTCCCAGACAACTAGTTCATACCTCCTCCTTTTCTGAGCTCCCACTTCCTGGGAGCACCCAGGGCCCCAGCGCGCTCTGTGGTTTATGGTGGAAAAGACCCATCTCTGACCAGAAGGAGACTGAGGTCTGGAGGTGGGCGCTCATGGTGGAACTATGCTTCAGACCGTGGCTCCCCCATCCTGCGTGACTGAGGGCTGGGCCTCATACCTGTACTGACCACTCCCCTGCCCCGTCCTTAGGGATCAACTAAACATGCAGAAACCGTCCACATTTTGGCAACAGCTCCTCTGACACTAATTCATGTATTTTGTATGCTCTTTGGGAGCGAAGGTATTTTGAAAAGAGGTTCTACTGGTACCAAATTTTTCTCTGGACGTGCAGGGTTATGGGAACCATGACAACGGCCCTCCAGGAGGAAGCCAGTGGTGCTCTGCCCTGTCCTGTCTTTTCTGTCTGCATCGGGGGAGCCTTGGAACTGCAAGCTGGCTGCGTATCACCTGGGAGGGGTGAGGTTCCTTGGGGGGACACATCACTGCATGACCAACTTCTTCTGGAACCCTTGGGGCCAGCAGAGCTGCTGTCGGTTCTACCCTGGCCTCAGGCACCACCTTTGCCTAAAGAGCACCTGGCACCAGGAGAAACATGATGTCACGATGTCATTAGAGCCGGATAACTCCTCCTGGCCAGCCCTGCCAAGGGTCACGGAGCACAGAAGTTGGACTAGGCCCCAGTCTCTCCTGACTCCAGGGCCACTGTCCTTTGCTTACAGAGATATTAGCAAAAATTATTTAAAAGCATTCGATTTCTAATAACATTCTCGCTCCATACCTATCTCAATGACTGCTGGAAACAGGTAGGCACTTCCTCCTTAGGCTCCAAGTCCAGGTGACCTTCCTTAGTGGCCAATGTTGTGTTTTAAAACCATGAGTCTCAGAGTTGACTCTGGTAGGTTGAGTCCACACGGACACGTAGACATGCTGATGACATGTCTCTTACCCATGGTAAGAGTCTCTTAAGGGTAAGACACAACAGAAATCAAAGTTGAAGAAGTGACAGATGTCCATAAAGTCCTCTCAGTGGAGGACTTGGTCCAAATGGATGAGGCTGGAGTTGGCATCCTTCTCACAGGGAGACCAGGCTGGGTATTTTGCTGGGAGCAGGCCTGTCGGATTCCCCGGCTACCTAGATGCTTAGCAGCCCTGGGAAAACCCAAGTCCACAGACCAAGGTTTTTCTCTTAGGTCTCGGGGTCCTGGCAGCTTGTCTTCTGCCTGTCCCCGTGTCTGTCTGGCCAGTTCCCCGCCCTTAGTTCTTATTGCAACAGGCCCTCACACCTCCCCCGCTGCCACTCTCCTGACTCCATGGGCGGATGCCTCTCTTGTGAGCTTCCCAAGCACTGTGCTTCCTGAGAGCCTACTGCTTCCCCAAAACCCCAGAGCCCTGGAAGTTGCAGGGACCTGGGAAACAAAGCAGAAGGCTTTTCCGGGATGTGACCCCTGCAGAGTCCCCCACGTGGCCTGGAGTTTCCATAATGATGGTAAGGAGTCTAAGATTCTAAACTGAAAAGGCAGCTGGTCAAGTGAGACAGTGATAGGGAAGAGGAATCTGGGGGGAAAAGAGCTCCAAGGTGAATTGCGGGGGGCTGGGGGAGGAATGTGTGTGGGCAGGGCACAGATCTGAGGTCCATTTTTTGTCTCCCACTCTCTGAAATGACTTTCACACCTTGTTGTCACCCCCCCCAAAACCTCCCATGCCCTACCTCTCTCCCTCTCAGCTGCTACACTGCTTCCTGTTTAACCAAGAAAACAGATAAACCGCCTCTGATTTTATCAATAGGCTGTGGACCCCACCCCCCTTCCTAACCAAGGACATCCCTCCTGCAACTGACCTCTATCTACCTGCATCACTAGGTTTTCCCTCCGTATGGGATCCTTGTCAAGCAAATAAAATCACTCTAGGAGAGTGAATTTTTAGAAATCAACTCTATTGAGTTATGATGTGGATATAAAAGGCACCCATTATAAGTGCAAAGTTAGATGAGTTCTGACACGTGTATTCCCCTGTGTAACTGCCACCACCGCTGTGAGGTCAGAGGTCATTCCCTTCAACCCCGTGAGGGATCCTACTGCTGAGGAGTGTTCCCTTGTATGGATGCAGCACAATTTGTTCATGCCTTTACCTGTTGGTATACAATTGGGCTATTTCTACTTTTTGGCTGTTATGAACAAAAAGTGCAGTGAAAATGTATAAGTCTGTGTGGATGCACGTTACTTCTCTTGAGTAAATATCTACAGGCAGAATAGCTGGGCCATATGATAATCTATGTTTAGTTTTACTAGAAACTTACAAACTTGTTCTCCAAAGTGGCTCTACCATTTTACATTTCCATAGTGGTCCGTGAAAGTTCTAGATGCTGCAATTAGCATTGCCAGTTTTTTCTCCCTATCTTTAGCCATTCTATCGCGTGTATAGAGGGGTATGCATTTTGGTTGTAATTTGCATTTTCGTTTTATGACGAATCGTGTTGAGCATCTTTTCAGGTACTCATTGGCTATTCAAGTATCACGCACATGTATTGTCTCACAGTTTCCATGGGTCCTGCAGGCCTGGCTGAGCTGGGCCTTCGGCTCAGGGTCTCACAAGGTGTTGGCCAGGGCTGCAGGTCTTTTTCCAGTCACACATGGTTGTTGGCAGAATTCACTTCCTTGCAGCTGTAGAACCATGGTGATTCAGGCCAAAGGGAAAGCTTTGCCGCTGCTTCTAGAGCCTCATTTAAAAGGCTCACCTGATTAGGTCAGGCCCACCCATTGGTAATCTCCCTTTTGACTGACTCAAAGTCAACTGATCAGGAACCTTAATTACATCTGTCAATCCCTTCATTTAATATGATGTAATCCAATCACAGGAGTGACATCCACAATATTCACTGGTCCCACACATACTGTAAGGGAGATTATTATACATGGGCATGGGTCATCTTAGAATTCTTACCACACCCATTTTCAATTGGCTGGTTTGTCTCCTCCTCACTGTGTGATATGAGTGCTTTATAAATTCCAAATACAAGTCCTGTACAGATACATGTATTGCAAATATTTTTCTCCCAGCCCCTAACTTGCCTTTTCATTTTCTTAATGGTGTTTTTTGGAAGAACAGAAATTTTTAATTTTGATGAAGTCCAATTTGTCAGCTTTTTCTTTTATGGTTCACACTTCATATTTCCCCACAAGAAATCTTTCCCTACCTAAAGTTTACACTATTGTCTCCTATGTTTTCTTTTAGAAGTTTTATAGTTTTACATTTAGTTCTGTGACTCATTTTAAGTCAACTTTTGTGTATCATGTGAGACAAGAGTTGACATTCACCTTCTTTTCCCAAATGGATATACCATTTTACCAGCATTATCTGCTGAAAACACCATCATTTCCCCCATTGAATTACCTTGGCACTTTAATTGAAAAATCAATGAATATGGGTCTACTTCTAGACTGTTATTCCATTGATTTCTATTTTTATACTTAATCTATAGTAACCTACTTGATTACTGTATATTTACATTGTCTTAAAATCTAGACAGATTACACCCTTAAGCTTTGTTCTTTTCCAAAAATTTTCTATTTTATGACCTTTTGATTTCTGTATAAAATCTCAGAATCAGCTTGTCAAATTCTAAAAATCAGAAATAAGCCTGCTGGGATCTTGATTGGGATTGCATCGAATATGTAACTCAGCTTAGAGAGAAATGCCATCTAACAATATTGAGTCCTCTAATCCATCAGCCTGGTGTATATCTCCATTTATTTTCTCCCAGCTTTGCTTTATAGTTTACAGCATGCATGTTTTTCACATATTTCATTAAATTTTCCTTTAGTATATATCACCTTTTTAGATGCTTTTATAAATGGTACTTAAAATTTTCCTTTTCCAGTTGTTCATTGTTAATGTATAGAAGTATAATTGATTATTGTGATATTGACCCTGTATTTTGTGACTTAGCTAAGTTCACTTAATAGTCCAGTAGATTTTTTTTAAGATTCGTTAGAATTTTCGAGTACATGATCATATCATCTGCAAATAAAGTTTTGGTCTCTCCTTTCCAATCTGTATGCCTTTTTGCGCTAGCTCGGACCTCCAGCACAA